TCCTGACTCAAGGCAGTCCAAAATACCATCCACCACCTACCCTGTTCATGTCTAACTACCTAACCTAATATTATTTCCTTCTGACTGTGTCTTAGAAGCACACTGAGATGACATTTAGAGCCCAGAGAAATAATGCAGAACTGCTTCATCTCAAGAACTGCCAGAGGTGGTGGGTTCAAACCCAGCCCCAGCCAAAAAAAAAAAAAGAACTTTAGGCCAGGTATGGTGGCTCACACTTGTAATCCTAGCACTCCAGGAGGCCTAGGCAGGGGGATTGCTTGAGCTCAGGAGGTCAACCAGCCTGAGCTAGTGTGTCTAACCCCCATCTCCACCAAAAATAGAATTAAACAACAATAGCCCGGCATTGTGGTCAGTGCCTGTAGTCCCAACTACCTGGGAGGCTGAGACAGGAGGATTGCTTGAGCCCAAGAGTTTGAGGATGCTGTGACCTATGACGCCACAGCACTCTACCCAGGGTGACAGAGTGAGACTCTGTCTCAAAACAAACAAGCAGGGCAGCACCTGTGACTCAAAGGAGTAGGGCACCGGCCCCATGTACCGAAGGTGGCGGGTTCAAACCTGGTCCTAGCCAAAAATAGCAAAAAACCCCCAAACAGGCTTGGTGCCTGTGGCTCAAGTGGCTAAGGCACCAGCCACATACACCTAAGGTGGCGGGTTCAAATCCAGCCTGGGCCCACCAAACAACAATGATGGCTGCAACCAAGAAATAGCCGGGTGTTGTGGCAGGTGCCTGTGGTCCCAGCTACTTGGGAGGCAAGAGAATAGCTTGAGCCCAGGAGTTGGAGGTTGCTGTGAGCTGTGATGCCACAGCACTCTACCCAGGGTAACAGCTTGAGGCTCTGTCTCAAAAAAACAAAAACAAAAATAACATTATCAACCCTCACACTGTACATAAGATCTCCACACTAACTCATCCTCTTTAAGTGCTACTTTGTACCTGTTGCACAACATCAGGAACATTTTTAATGTTTTCAATGTATTCAGTTTTCAGCTTCTGTTATTTCCCTGAGGAATGCTCACACCAGCCACAGAGAGGCTTGTGGAAATTGCTGATGTTTGCAAAAGGAAAGAAGTTGATAGCATTCAAGTCCATGAAGCAGGGATGCAGAAATAAACCCCATGTGATCAGACCCCACAGCTAAGCAGGGTCTGCAAAAATCTCCCAAATTGGACACAGGATTCCTTCCAGGATTCTCTGAAATGGCTGAATTTGAATGAGCTTAGAAAAAGTAACTATCGGGTTACTCAGTGGGGTCTCCTCAGTGAGGAGGGCGCTGGCCCCATATATCAACAGTGGTGGGTTCAAACCTGGCCCCAGCCAAACAGCAACAAAAAAATAGCTAGGCATTGTGGTGGGCACCTGTAGTCCCAGCTACTTGGGAGGCTGAGGCAAGAGAATCGCCTAAGCCCAAGAGCTAGAGGTTGCTGTGAGCTGTGATGCCATGGTACTCTACTGAGGGTGGGAAAGGGAAAGGGAAAGGAAAGGAAAGGAAGAGTAACTATCAAGGCATAGAGGTGTGCCCTAAGCAAGGCAGGCGCTGAAGATGTGCTGAAGCCCATGGTGCCTCCCAGTGCCCTGGGCACTGGCCATGACTGGGGTGAAAGGAGCCCAAAGACCAGGGTCCCAGGTCCCAGGCTGCCACTTCAATCTTCCTGCTTCCTCCAGGTCATCCAAATTGGACCCCAGCAGATGCATCCAGCCAATGAAATGAGTGTCAATGACATGGCATGAGGATAAGGAGAACAACCATCCAGGTCCCTGTGGGCCACAATTCAGAACAAACAATATAAGCCCACAAGTTGCCCAGTGCCCAAATCTGTGGTGCCATGGGGACAGAGAGAGGCAGAAGCTATCCTTATATCCTTTCACCTTCTCAGGATGCGGCCATGTCCCTTACTAGGTGCACAGACCAAAATCCTTGAAGTTAATGGGATTGCATTGCCCACATCCCATTGCTCTGCAAGCTCTGTTTGCTCTACCTTTGAAATACCAATATGCCTGGAATCCTACTTCCACCTACTCTAGTATCTCTGTGCCAGGTATTGTCACTCCTGCACTGGCTTTTGGCTGCCACTGTCACCACCCATAGCTTGCTCCCCACTTGCTGTCAGAGAGATCCTGTTAAAACTAAGTCAGATCCTGCTCAGAGCCCTCCTGTGGCTCCTGTCTCGCCCAGAATAACAGTCAGTCTTCACCATGGCCCAAGGCAGCCCAAGTCACGTAGGTCTGTGTAATCCATACTGTGAACGCTTTTCTTTTTTTTTTTTTTTTGAGACAGAGTCTCACTTTGTCACCCTCTGTAGAGTAATGGGCATTATAGCTCACAGCAACCTCAAATTCTTGAGCTGAAGCAATTTTCTTGCCTCAACCTCCAGAGTAGCTCAGACTACATGGTCTGGAACCTATGAACTCAGGCAATCCACCCACTTTGGCCTCCCAGAGTGCTAGGCTTACGGGCATGAGCCACCATGCCCTGCTTTTATGAAATAAAATAAAATAGAATAGAAAGTAACATGATGCATTGCACATGGTGAGGGCAATTATCACTCAGGAAAACTTCCAGCAAGATGTGATATATAATGCATGATGAAAATATCATAACATATGTAATATGTAATCCATGTGTTATATGATATACGTAATGAGTTTTATAATGTATATTAAGTATATAGAATACGTATATATCTGCAGTGTTTCTTTTTTGTTGTTGTTGAGACAGAGTCCCACGCTATGCTCTGAGCAGAGTGCAATGGAGTCATACCTCCCTGCAACCTCAGACTCAGGCTGTGGGCATCCTGGGACCTCAGCCTCTGGAAGCCCCTGGGATTACAGGCATTCGCTGAGGCACCCGGCTGGGTTCTTCCATTATTTTAGGAGTCAGGTTCTCACTCTTGCTTAGGCAAGTCACAAACTCCTGAGTTCAAGCAATCCTCCCGCCTCAGCCTCCCATAGTGCTGGGATCACAGGCGTGAGCCACGGCTCCCAGCTGCAGTGTTTCTTTATGGAATGGAATACAATAAAATAGGAAATATCAGAGACTATCCTGTACATACTAAGGGTATTTAGTGAAACTTTCATGCCAATGAGATGAATATACATACACACAGTATACACAAAACATATAACATACAATGTTATGTTATATATTACATAAAATATATACTTTATATTCTATCATATACTATGTCACACGATGCATAAATTATATATACACTTTGGTCTTACATACACAGAATTGTGAATTACGGCATAAATACGTGTCTGTTAAATTGTATGTAGATTCCAGAAGACTCCTCTCTGCACACAGAGGGGTTCCTCTGAGATTTTGTAGGGAATAAAGGAAGGAGGACTTGGCAGGGGAGAAACTAAAGTGAGATGTGGCGGCAATGGAGGCCTCAGCAATTTCATGGGGGCTCCAAAGCTTGTATGACCCTTGAGTTGTGCCCATCAAGGCCAGGGAGTGGGCCTGTGTGCGCCTAAGCCCCTACCTAGGCCCCTCCTCACGGAAAATGTGGGAGTAATTGTTTTTAGCTTTGAAGGCCCTACGGTCTCTGTCACAAATATTCAGCTCTACAATTACAGTGCAAAAGAAGCCACAGAAGTATATAAACAAATGAGCATGGTTGCGTTCCAATAATTATTTATACAGACAGGCAGTATAGACTGCCTAAATGTGGCTCACACCTGCTTTATGGCTCTCATACATACTTGCAACCCCTCCCTCCCTCAACTCCTGCCTACCTGATCCAGAGCAGCTGTCCCCATGAGTCCTGGATTCCTGCTGCCCCTTCTCAGCTCCTCATCACCTGACACTGGGTTAGCTCTTACATCTTCACTGATGCTCTTCCACATTACAATGTCAGCCACATGACACCAGGAACCAGTGCTTGTTCCTGGCTAATTTCTGGCACTAGAATGGGGTCCTGTGTACAGTCAGTGCTCAGCCAATGTGTCTAATGAGCAGGTGGGTGACATCCTCCCCAAAATCCTCCTTTGGATATATTCTCCTTATCTGTCCATGCCAACTCCAGCCCCAAGTCATTGTCACTGGGGAACCCAAGTCAGGCCACTCAGTGTCACAGTGACAAGCACAGGGATTGCCTTGTGGGCTCATCTATCAGGCTACAGCCTATGTAAGTCTATTTTCTCCCAGGGTGGCTCTCAGACATCTTGGCCTCTCTAGGCAAGGCCCTTCCCGCCAGGGAAAACACACAAAGGACAACAGGTCCTGCCAAAAGATAGGAGAGGCATAGCCCTCAGAACACTGAGGATTTTGTGACCCAGTATGAAGGGTTCCTGTTCTTTACACCCTAAGTCCTGAGGAAGGAGTCTGGATTGAGTTCAGTCCCTTATTCCTAACTCCAGTTAATGCTAGAAAAGAAATATCTGTATGTGCATCTGTCCCCTCAGTGGACTGTGACCCCTGTGAGGTCAGGGTTGGGGCTGTCTCTATCACTGCTATGACCCCAATATGGGACAGCACAGGGCAGGGAACACAGTTGGCCACTCAGTGAGTTTGTTGAATGAAAGGATAAACAAAGTATGTTTTTTCTATAATGAATGAAGATTTTTTTTTT